AACGACAACCGTGAAGATAGAAGAGCTCAAATGCGGCATGCTCATTCCAGATTGATGAAATTCATTCAGATAATTTCAGGGAAATACTACTGCGTAAGCATCTGCCTGGTGTCGTTAGAAGTGGCGTTGTGTGTCTTCACCGTATCCATTCATCATCCGAAAGACATTCGGGTATCCCGTCGGATCCAGAACGCGTGCCGGCTGTTGGCGAAACTGACGTGCATGAAGGAGCCACGATTCCACACCGTTAGTTTCTCTCTCCATTTCAGCACGAAATGGTTCGCACGTGCAATTCTCTCACGATGCTTTCGTAGGTGATTCCGGGAGAGTGTCAGGACGAGAGAGGGAAGAACGAATTAGTGGACGGGATAAGACCAACTTCTCACTTTGGAGGAAGGTTGAAGTCGAGTAGACGCCATGCTTGGAAGGGCCCATTCAAACCTATGAGCAAGGAACCGATGAATGGTATGCTAGACATCAGCGCAATAAGAACCCTTTCATTGGGAAAATACTTCTATGAAATTTCATCAGTGGTTTCACCGTTTCGCTACTGGAATCCAGATCATTACCTTTAGATAGCGATATGCGGAAGGGCAGATAGGTCGCAATAACTTAGTCCAAGTTGAATCACATAACTTGCGTGAAGGAAGTTGCTCGACGGATGAAATATATTCAGGGAATGGGTGTTTCAAATATCTACACGCCCGAGATTTTCTTGTTAAGGTCCACCTACGAAGAATGAAGGGTACTGACGGTTGACTTTCAATACTGGTGTTTACTTTTTGGATGAATCTGCTGTGGAAAGTTTCCACGGAGGATAATACTTTCTGGGGAATTACTTTGAATGGGAATTCTCCGATCGGAGAAGAATCCTATCTGGGAAATGTTCTTTCATTAAAAATGCATTTAAGGACTTCTCCCACATGGAAAATTCCGGTATGGAGTTTTCTATTTGTGAAAGTCTCGGCAGCATCAATTGTAGTGCACTCGAAAGTCTGCAGAACTATCCTCTTCAGATTGTACATCGCTGCAAATGCATGGACGAAATTAATCAAATTAAAGCCACTTTAAAGAGGAATTTACGAACTTTCATCTATGCATGGTCGAATGAATTATTCCAAGTGGGTGTAGAATATTTCAACGGTCGCATTGGCCCAAAAAGCATGGTTTGATTTTCGGCTTGAAATCAAGGACATTTATGATTCATGAAAATTCGGCGAAAGTATTCCTCATTCCATCATTTAAATTTTGTATTCAATTTTTAATTCGGCATGCCCGATTCGATTCCATCGACACACAGACACCACGAATGATTATTTCGTTCTCTCAGAGAGGGATATGCCCCTGAGCGAAGTTCCATCTCCGGCAGAAGGCCAGGAGAAACAGGAAACGGAGGTGGAAATTGGTATCAGCCAAGGCCATCTTCAGACGGAGATGGAGAACCCAGAAAATCGCTTCTTGCATCTTGGACCGTTTCTTTCTCTATCTCTTTGCTTTCCTCAACTTTGCAATCACTTTTGGGATATTCCTTTCACACCTGAATTGATCGAGCACCAACAAACCCAATCAAGGCCGTAGAGGGGATGAAGTTGACCACTAAGGCTTTTCTTGAGAATGTCTTTGTATCGAGTGGCATAAAAAACACGTCTTGTTTGATGCCTATTGAAACACTCAGTGGAAAGTGTATGTTCACGATATTATTCTGACTCCTCAAATAAAAGCAGATGGTTGGATAGCTTTGTTACCAAACAAAAATAGGGTCTGCCTCAGTATCAGAGAAGTTTCCATGTCGAAGTCTGTTCCCTTCATTCAAACGGTATTTCTTTTCCGTTTTTTTTTTCGACGGAGAGAGCGAGTAATTGATCATAGGAAAAGATTATTTCTGCAAAGAAATGCTATTTAATTTAGTCAAAAATGTGATTGCCGCTTTATCATGGCCCAAACATTATTATGTTTCTTTTTCACAGTTCAAAATCATGCTTCCCCTTAATGGGGTAGTGAAAACGTTAGCTATGATAACAATGCTTCTTTGCAGGTTCATCATAATCTCATAATCATGACTGTCTCGGCTGAATTGCAACACCATAACATTATTAGATAGCATAGCACTTCCCCGTTATCGGGGTAGTGTGATCAACTCGACCTTTCCAACGCAAATGCGGTGCACGCCTACAGTCTTTCCAGTGAGTGGATGAAAATGCCATGATTTGAAGCTAAGAATCTAACGTTGACGGGCGAAAAAGTACTTCATTATATATGCCATAGATAAGTTTCGCCATTCATTCAAAAATGAAACTTTTATTTTTTAATATCACACTTACCCTGAATGACCTTAGAAAGAAACTACAAAATCGGTTCGAGGTAATGATTAATTCTGACATCTTTTTGCTTAAGCTTATACTGCTGATTGTCCGAACTTGGAGAAAAATTCTCAGCATTAGAGGAGGCATATGAAGGACGAATCCGGAAATTTTCAGAGTGACCCTCATATCGTTGTCACTTTTGCGGGAACAATTTTATGGCTCTAAAAAGTTTATTTCCATTCTCTCCTATAGTTCCTTAATTATTTTTACTTTTTGTTGAAACCTGGAGTAAATCTGTGTACTTTGCAATCGCGCAAATGTCAAATATCCCATGAGAAAGATTTCCATTGTCATCCGACATTTTTTGCTGGATTTTACTCGAAGAAACTGGATGATGGTTATATATTAGGGGTACCAGAAAGTAATGTTGTTTTTTCTGCGAACCAAACGTAAACTTTATTTATGGTGTGTTTTGGTTTGGTTTCATCTGAATTCCATTCATTAATCTAAAGAACCGTTCTTTTTCATACATTTCTTAATGACAAATACGAGGTATTATGTACATTTTTTTCAGCAAAAACGTCTGACAACATTCCCGACGAGGTCCATATACGATATTGTCTGCTCTATGAGTTTCGTAACGGAAGTAAGGTAACGGAGGCCACCAAAAACATTTGTGGTGTTTATGGATATGTATTGCGTGTTCGCAAATGCCAGCGTTTGTTCAGTAAATTCCGGTCAGGCGATGTTGATCTCTCGTATGGCCATGGTTTGGGAAGACGGGTAGAACTGGACAACGATCTCCTGAGGTCTCAATATCATAACTAAACATCATAACTAAGATGAAATTCATCTTTGTGACGATGTATCAAACCCCTGCACACTCCGCAACCTGGGTCCGTGAATGTCCACAAACTGGAACCGGTCGTCCACAAATAGGAACAGCGTGAAAAATGTGCGTATAGTCATTAAAACACTATTTTCTTTGGAAAAGTATGCAATAAATACTCAGTTTTAGAATATAGAACCGTTAATCCTAGGACTAACCAACAGACTTCAGGTTACTTCAGGAAACCCGAAGCCTGCCTTCATTATTTGAAAAAAAACTCTCAGTTCTCGAGTTACTAATTAGGCTAAGTAATCCGAATCTCGATTAATTATGCCTTTAAGGATGAATCTGTGAGAATTGAGATTTGAGTTCCTCGAACCATCTCGAATAGGTCTGAGGAGGGAATGCCTCCAGGAAGCATTACATCTATGGCGCGCGACACCCTGGTAATTCAGGGAGGTCAGGAGAAAATATATTCATATCCCAACACGTTGATCAATCACTGCCAAACCACTGCTTCATTCTCAGCTCCAACTCATGAACTCAGGAAGAAAAAGTGTAATACATAAAAAAAAGGTCCAGACGTTAAGCGGTTGAAGTAGTCTTGAATGTGGTATAATTTCGGCACGATATCCTGGAACACTGGGGGACGGGATCGGTGCAAGCGCTCTAAGCCTAAATGAACGACAGCAAATCTGATTTTTTTTAATGACGAAAAGGTGCATCGCAAGCAACAGAAAAGTAATTTTTTGTCACCAACAAGTCAAACATGAATTTCGTCTCCTAAATTCTCCTCGATTTTGTGCCAGGTTGCGTGCATGCCGCGACCCGCATCCCGTTCTAAACGCACCTTTATGCATTGTCATCATGAGATGTTACCCAGTGGCGTGAAATTCCCTGCGAATAGGTGTATCAGATGGGAATAAGGATTGCAATATTACTCAACATCCGTTTCGTCAATTTGGACTTGGGAGACTTCTGCATTCGTTTCGCCATTAGCAAATTGCGGGTCGATAGATATAGCAGCAGTAAAACGCCGAAATTGGCAGTGTTCAGCATTGGCGCTATATCAAGGTTTTCCTGCTCTTCCAGCAGACTTCCCAGTTGAGGTTGAAGTTGAAGAGAAACAGATTTCAGTTTCATGCAGAAAGGCAAAAAAAGGGTTGACATGAAAATGTGGAAGAAAATGAATTAGTGAGAAAGAGATTATATTAAACCATGTGTAATTTTAAGACATGAAGTGATCGAGAAAATTTCGCAGTTCAGATGTAAGAGTTGCATCGATTTATTCAAGATCACACCTCATTAGAATTGTGGCTGCAGTTGAAGGGAAGCAGAAGCTACTTCACGCTTTCGGGGGAAAATGAAAGAAAGACAAATAACGAGAGGGAAAAAAATGAAGACAAGCTGAAATCTTAAAAATAGCTGAACATATCCTCTGGGGAAAAATTCCTCCAGCGCTTGCGCAAAAAAGTTGGTAATATTTGGGGGGTCAAGTTCTTCGAACGCCTTCATCAGTTTGAGGTTCATTAGCTGGCCGTCGACATTTGGGACAAATTGGATTGCCTTCTCGCAACCACGTGTGAATGCAATCTCGATGATAAATGTGAGAGCAAGAAAGCCTGCATACGAACTCTCCAGTTGCATAACATTCCAAACATACGGTACATTTAAGATCGAAAGGATCTTTAGCAGCTTCCTCCCACTTCCACACAGGAAGGTTATCGATGTAATCCAAATTAGTCGAGCTTTGCAAGTTTTGTAATAACACGTTCAGCATTGACAATATTTCCATGTAGAATTCGGGACTCAGCCTGAGTGAAACAGAAGGATCAATGTCTGAGTGAAAGTCCGCAGGTCTCGTTGAGCTACTGGATTGAATCCAAACTTCCTGAGGGAGGGGAGGAACATTTGGCTCCGCATTTGTCCAGACGAGAGAGGAAATCTGTCTGACGGGAGAGGAACTCGGGCCGGCGGGAGATGACATCGGCCTGACGGGAGAGGAACTCGGCATGACGGGAGAGGAACTCGGCCTGACGGGAGAGGAACTCGGCCTGACGGGAGAGGAACTCGGCCTGACGGGAGAGGAATTCGGCATGACGGGGGAGGAACTCGGCATGACGGGAGAGGAACTCGGCCTGACGGGAGAGGAACTCGGCATGACCGGGGAGGAACTCGGCATGACGGGAGATGACATTGGCCTGACGGGAGAGGAACTCGGCCTGACGGAAGAGGAACTCAGCCCGACGGGAGAGGAACTCGGCCTGACGGGAGAGGAACTCGGCCTGACGGGAGATGACATCGGCCTGACGGGAGAGGAACTCGGGCCGGCGGGAGAGGAACTCGATCTGGCGGTAGAAGGAACCCGCCTGATTCTTCTCGTTTCTTCCTCCTCTTGCAAGGAGGACTCGAGAACTCTAAAGTGCCAGGAGATGGCGACAGCTGTGAGGCAATAAAGAGCTGATGAGATTATCAGATATTTTTGCCGGTACCGCAGCCAGAAGATTTCGTCTCGTATAATACTTGCAGTTCCCGTCGTCATCAGGTGACGGACTGCATTGGCAAACATATCCCATAGGAATACAAAAGGGTAGAATTTGATCAATGTTGGTGTCACTTGCCAAATAATAAATATTGATAGGTTTCCAATAAAAAAATTCCGAACCAACATGTTCACAGGACGAAACATCAGCAAGTCCAAAAACTGATGGATATTAAATAATATCATGACGAAGAAGAAAACGTCACTGATTTCAGGCGTTAACGTACGAAGGAATGTTTGAATATGCTTGAAGGTGAGTGACTCTCCCCTGTTTGAACCGTATGCATAATGGCCTTCAGGAGTAACAACAACGTATGATGGGAACTGAACAACCGACCAATTTCGAGACAGGGTTTCTCTTTCCGTCCCTTTGCGAGATGAGAAGGACCCAAACTGAAATTTTCCTGCGAATTTGATACTCAAAGTCTCCAAGAACAGAGGAACCACTTCTCCATCCGTGAAGAACACCAAAGCCCCACTGTCTGCTTGCTTTGAGGGATCCAGCCACTTTGATTCCAATTCCTTCACTGTCTTGATGTCTTGTACGTGATTCTTCAGCGCCCCTTCTACCCGCTTCAGGACGACCTGATATTGAACGAGAATTCACGGGTTACGGACCATATTAGCAATAACGTTCCATGAAGAAGGATCCGGTGCGACAGGGACGACGCGATTTTTAAAATACAGATTTTCCATTAAGCGACAACCGAATGGTCTGTCTCTGAAAGCTCTTCCACCATCTGGGGATATCTGGTATGTATCGATAGATCAGTTCATCTTTTACCTAATTCCAAAAAATAATCATTTTCTACGAAAGATGCAAGAGTACGCATTTTCCTTTAGCCCTTCTCGTAGAAACCCACGAAATCTGATCAACCGGTAACCTCTTCCAACCTCTTATCCCTCGATAATCCCAAATTGAAAGGAGACATGCAAATTTTACTGACCAAATATTGAATAATGTTCATGAACGATCCCAACGCAGAAAGTCAACTTACATTTGCTTTGTTGTAGCCATTGATGACAATTTCATTCTGGCCTGTTGTTTCTTTCGGTAAGGAAATGAGTATGAGAGGCCTATCCCATTTCTTTCGCTGACATACTCTGAAATGACAAGAGTAAGGCAAGCGGGATCATCTTCACTTCGAAAAATCACGAAGGGAAAAACAGCAAAAAGGCGAAGCCGAGCCGGAATCGCCACGAGGAAGAAAGAACTCACTCTGAGAGGATGCTGCAATCAAGGACTCCCAACCGAATTCCAAACCGAGGTACTTTGCCTTGGATCTCTTGCCACAAAGAGACCTTGTCCCACGAAGAGAACTTGTGACTTTGCTCTGGGACCACGAGCACGATCCAGACACTATCCTTCGTTTCCTCGACTTCCCTGCTGAAGTCAGTCCCATTTGTAAATGTGAAGACCGGCTCGTCGTGGCCCTGATATATTTCACGAAGTTCGCCTGCTGTCACATTTCCTATACAGGGTCAAGAAAGAATGAAGCATACGCATGTTAGCATAACATTCTCGCCTGAATCTATACATTGTCCTATTTGTGAAGTGGATTATATTGATATGTCTAGGAACACTTTCCCACTTCATCAACTCAATTCAACCAAATATATATATAGTTTTAGAATATAGCATCATTTCATTCCCTTTCCTATCTTCCCCTCAACTTCAAATCGATTGAATAATCATAAATAACATGAAACGAGTATCCAAATTCAGTTTCGATCATGGGCACAAGTTAAGTTGCATCAATAACCAAGATCAGTGATGATGGATGTCTCGTGTGCAGAAAGCTCACCGGTGCTCTTCAACAACTGCACCAAATCTTCCTTTTCGATCGCACTGGTGCCATGCAAACCCCGAACCTCGATCAGGGTCTTCAGCTCGCGAACGCTCAACGTCGAGGGATCGAGAATGGATGAAGAATCCGCAGCTCTTCCGGATGCGTACCAGTCAGCGAGGTCGAGAATTTTCGAGCTTGATAGCAAGAGGATCGCGTATCCCAGAAGTGGTATTGACTTCAGCCACAAGCTACGTTTTCTCTGGGTAGCTTCTGCCGGTGGGGCCATGACTGAGGCCTAATTAGGAACCAGAAAAGTTGTTTATCAGAGAATGTGCAGATTGCACATGGAAAATGTAAACAGCCCTGGAATCAGAAAATGTGTCTAATTTCAGAATTGATTAGAATGCTGCTGAATTGAAATCATGAATGAACTATCGTTTTTCCTCCAAAATTTCAGGTGGCATTCAGGATCCTCATCTCATTCAGAGAGGCTCATTCGTAATAAATTTCAGCCAATAAGTTTCTTTAGACTTAATTTTAGACCTCATAGTCACCGTTATTAGGTCTAAAATGGCAGTAAGTGCATGCAAAAGGGTTGTTTTCTCATAAAAAAAATAATATACTTGGGATGAACTTTTAACCAGGATCACAGATGCTACGCATGAAATCATTGTCGCAGAGATTCTCTTCAACAGTTCCTTTTCAACAGACAGCGTGTCAACAGACAAGCTGTCTGCTGAAAAGACGGTCTCGGAGCGATAGACGGTCTTCGATTAGGAATGAAGAAAAGGTGCATCAAGTGTTACTAGCCAGAGGCCAGAGTTCCTCATTTTACAGCTCAAATAGAGGAGCGCATTTGAGTGCAATTTTCAAAGTGTGAATCATGAAGCATAAATTCCTAAGATAGTTCAAACATACTCTAAGTTTCAATTCCATAATTATGTAGTATTGCTTTCGTTGAAAAAATTCTTTAAGTTTCCAATTCATGGAGCATTTCTCCTTTTTCGTGTAGCCAATTCCATCATCATTCAGGGAAATATTAGGGAAATAACCTATGATTCCTAGTTAAGTATTCTCTGGTCCACCATACTGCAACATACATTTTCCATTTCCCCATTTAGAAAAAAGTAAACGCAAAATGAATTCTCGCAACATTTTACGGTTTCTTCGTAAGAGTGGACGGATGAGAGGGTTTGAAATCGTCAGTGTATCTCGTGGCCCAGCAATCGCTAGTGTACAATCAACCCATGCATATAGCAACAAAGGAATTGGGGCACGTACCTGTTCGACGTTATGACCTCCAGGTAGACCAACAGATGGGATCGTGCATCGAAGAGAAACGATACAGGCCCAGGAATGAAGCCAATGCCACCACAGGTGCAGGTCCTAACGAGAAATATTCACATTCGCATCCCACATCACAGATGATCAAGACTGAATGGGAGGAGTCCTTCCACGCCACTAGGATATAGCCTCGCATTCAGCATAATGTCGGTTGCGTTCACTATCTCCCATTCTTCCTTGATATCCAAAGGAATGTGAAGACGGTTTGCTGGTGGATGACGTATTCTAGCGACGCTTCATCAATGGAGCTCTGATACGACGCAGAAGTTAGATAAGATATCTTACGATTTGCATTGATTGGAGGCTGATGTTTTATGAATATGTTGTAAAAGGGTTCCAAAGAAGTAATTTAGGTTATGCTTGCCCACAGGCCGCCGAGATTAGAATTACGCTTAGATTAGAATTTTGCCTGCCATTAGAATTACGCTTGGTCGTGTCGCAATTGCGACCACACCGTGAACAACGAGACACCAAGGCGTCAATTAAATTCCACTCCAGTAAGAGTCATTGATAACAACACCAACTCGTCTTTGATTGATGAAGAGCAACAGATTCGTGTGGGCAACTCCAACTGATATATCGTGGCTCGTGTCGCGATGTCACTCGGTCTTCTCCCCTCTACGTCTTAGTTGCGTGCTTCTGCGTTCTTCCAGACTTTTTTCACATTGAAATCTTGTTTCGAAATCTTGAAGAAACCACGAGGTCCATGTTGCTGGGTCTCACGTTGCTCGCGATTTGGAGCTGGGTAACCCATTTGGCCGTATGGATAAAACCTGAGCCCTAGCTCAGAGCTTGGAGTCAGAGTTTGAGCTGAGCCTGAGCTTTACCTCCGTTTTAAAGGGGGGGGGGGGGGGGTCCTACTTTTCCTGAAAATTGAGCTAGGGCGAAGGTGTTGCATAGATGTCGCGTGGCGTCTCCCCGCCCCTTTTCCCCCACAGGGCTCACTCTGACAAAATGCATTTCTTAGAAATCCCTCTTCCTTCACCTGGGTCTCTTATCTGACCGAGGGAACGAACTTCCCACCCCTCCCCCCTCTTTTTTTATACTTACCTTTACTTTCTGCGTTCTGGATTCATAGTCTCCAGATATCGGCGTTGTCATATCGTTTCAAAGCATTGGCCAGAATGCGAGAACCTATCATTTGAAAGCTAATTACATCATGGTGGCTATCATGCTAGGTATCAGATGATAGGTCTATAATTAGCTCTGTTCCGTATGCAAGAACAATTCATAAGTATCCATCGTGAGTATCCAATACATCCCCTGAACAATTACTCCATCTCCAAGCTTTCCTTGGCTTCGTTTCTTCCCTGCATACGACCATCCTCCTCCTCCATACATAACCTCCTCTCCAGGAAGGTTACTTTCCGCACCTTCACCATTTCATCGATGAGTTCTAGGGGAATGCTCATCCTCTGCTCTTCACATCCATGGAGGCTCTTGCCACAACCATCCCGGGACCGGGTAATAGGGAACAAGATGGGGTCGGGGTCTCATTTAAAAGGCCTATTCGTCGACTGCTTGGGACACGTTCACCAGCTGACTTTAGAGAAAGTAACCAGACAGTTATATTGGAACTCTAAGGCTCTAATCAGTTTTACGTAAAATGAATGTAAACTTGATGATGGGGATGGAAACAGAAATGCAAATTTTCCGCAAAATTCACGCAAATTTTATAACACCGTTTGCGTATCACAGAAGTGACATTTCTGCAAACATGTTCACGTTATCTTGATGATGGTTTACGTAGAAAATATATAAGAATCATTTAAAATTAACATTAAATTAACATAAACATGCTGCTTAGAAAGCTCCAATTCCTTAATTGATTGATATATTGCCTATGGGTGAGAAGGAGTAATTTTTTTATTTTCAGGTTGGAAATTAATGGTAGAACTTATCCTTAATTGTTTTTTTTGTACTGTATTCGTTCATGAGTCAGAGACCGCAGGACCGCCAGTGGGCGAATTTGAAAATGTGGCGTCATGAATTCCTTCAAATTACCTTCTTCGGATGCTGAAGAAAAACAGAAAAATGCACAGAAAAAGGCAAGCATAGTATGGAAAAAAAAAGTGATTCCAGCCCAATTTACGGGAAGGAGTTCATGTCAAACCTTATTTAATTATATCGAATAATATCATCATATAACATCCAGATCAGATTTAAGAATTCCATAGGTTCATTCAAGATGACATATTTCATAAATTCTTTGCGGAAACATGGACTAGAATTTGGGGAGTCAAGTTCGTCGAACTCCTTCATCGTGAGACTCACTCTCTGGCCATCGGCATACGGGACAATTAGGATTCACTTGCAGCCACTTGAGAATGCAATCCCGATGATAACTGTGAGTGCAGGGAAGTCTGCACAATAAATTTCCCATTTCAAAACGTTGCAAACATATGGTGCATGCATGATACATGGAATCATTTGGAATTTTACCGAAATTCCTCACTTGGAGCTCATCAATGGAATTCAAATTAGTCAAGCGTAGGAAGTGTCGCAATCGTTCCGCGTGTTGCAAGCGCTCCTCGTGTTGCAATAGGCTCTGCAATGTCCATATTTCCAGGGGCAAGTCGGGTATCTCTCTGAATGACATAGGACGCGGAACTCCCCGGCGAGAGCGAATAGGCCTGGAAGAGCTGCTGGGTCGATTCCTAATCTGATTGATAGAAAAAGGAATATTCCGCACTTCATTCGTGGAGACAGGATTTGGATTCGTCCTGATTCTTCTACGTTCCTCCTCCGCTTGAGATGAGGGATCGGGAACCCTCAACGACGAAAAAGCTTTCAAGACGAAAAGGCTGTAGAGCGCCCACGGGAGAAGAATGGATCCTTGACGGTCCAGCATCCAGATGATGTCGTCGCGGATCACGCTTGCCGTCCATGTCATTGCCAGGTAGAGAATTGCTTTCTCTAAAAAGTCTGATACGAAATAAAGAGAGTGGAATATGTGGAATCGCCATTGTAGGAACCAACACGAAAAGAAAAACTGGTTTCCTCGAATTAAGCATTTCAAGGCTGGGGCTTTGTCATCCAACGAGAGAAAATTCAAGACTTCAAAAAAATTGAACAATATTGCAATCGATAGAAAAATCTGAGGGGTTCCAAGCTGAAACGACCAAAGTAGCATTTCAAAATGGGTCAATGTGAGGGACTCTCCCCTATTAGAACCATACACATAGTAGCCATTTCGGGTGACAACTACATATGATGGGAACCGAACACCCGGGTACATACGAGACACTTCTTCCTTCTCCGTCTCTTCGGATGACGAGAAGACTCCAACCTGAATTCCTTTTGCGAGTCTGACACTCAAAACCGCCAGGGACAGCGGAACCGCCTGGGCATCCGTGAAGAACACCACACGCAGAGGCTTCCCGTCCGCTTGACTTGAGGTATTCAGCCACTCCGATTCCAGTTCCTTCAGCGATCGGATGTCGTGCAAGTGCTGCATCAGTTCCCATTGAATATTCTTGTAGAGAGCCTGCGTTCGAAATGAGTTTATGGTAATCCATCGTGTCTGCTGCGGTGATTTCTCATTCTTCCTTTCAAAGAATTTATTTGATAATAAAAACGTATCTATTCGATGAAACGCATTGAACTTCCCAAAGAGTTGAACGATGGTCTCAAGGAAGACGAGAGTTTCCGCGATATGAGGCTTTGTCGAATTAATATTCGGAAGAAATTGTTAGAAATTTTTTTACAAAGATATTTCACACAGCATCCTCACAATGTATGACAACTCACCAAGAATTATAGTTTTTGGCCCAACCCTTACATACGAAACTAGCCCGAAGGACAAACAAATTCGCTATGGGCGCGCCTTCGGCGCTCCATTACCTCGGATAGTGATTAATTCATTTATTCTTTGCAAAATTGCAAACAGGTTTTTAAAGTGCGTCCCCATTGAAATACGTGACATATGGAGATGAAAGACTTCATTTTCATCAATATCATTACTTCTATTATTTCTAGTGTTAATGACTTGAAATATTTTCATGCGTCCCTTTTTGCAAGGGTGGAGAATACATTTTGAAAGCCTCTCCGAAATTCCAACATATTGGAAATTTGACATTTTTCCTGAGGTCAGTGCTTCAGTAGTCACGTTCTTGCCAAGTTTCAGTTTCCATGTGTCTCCGTTTCATTGAAGCAAAGAGAAGTATTTGAAAATATGTTCCAGAAAAGGTGTGCCCATATGGCATGTTTCACCAAAGCAGAATTTTTCAACTCAGCATGCGACTTATGTCGGTCATATACTCACGATCACGATCACGATCACGATAAACCTAGGTATAATGAAGTAGAATTTTTTCTTTACTCAGCTATCCATCAGGTTCTTCTTTGCGAAGTTTAAACTTCCTAGCGCCCTCTTTTTTGCTAGATCAGAAAATTCCAGAAAATAAGCCTTTTGCAATATTTGAGCCCTGAGGCGTTTTATCCGAAAAGTACCATATTTTTTGGTGAAAACAATCCTTACAGAACAAGATGCCCACCAAGTTTCAACCTTATACGTTTACCCTTTTCGCTGGTGAAAAAACGTGTTTGGAAAAGCCGACCCACCCCACCCGACCGACCGACCTAATTGCTTTGCCCGGAGGGGATTGAACATGAAAACTGAATGCACCCTAAACTCAACAATATTATGCTACTCATACGTGTGGCAAGTTTCACCTTTCCATTTCCGTTCTCCCACATTTTTCTTTAACTCCTTGTCTCAGTGGTCAAATTCATGCAAAGCTTCAGCTTTCCATGTTGATCAGTTTAACTGATGCAAAAAAATTATTTGAAAACATCTCCCTTTGAAATTTGTGCCCCGGGGCATGTACTTCCAAAGTCTGAATTTTTCTGTATGCAGGATCCCAATATGTAGTTATTTACCAAGTTTTATCTTTCCATACCAGCTCAATACGCATGGTCAAAAAAAACATTACTTGAAAGGCGTCGGCCCCTAAAGATATGCCCCCACAGGGCATGGTTATACAATTTTCTTTTTTTTTTAACTCATCGTCTTGGTAGGCATCTGGATGCCAAGTTTTAGCTTTCCATTTCTCTCCGTTTTACTAGAGCAAAAATATTGTTACGGAGGGGGAATGAGTAACGGAAGGCATAAGAGGCCGACAGAAAGCCAAGGAACGGCCTGGAATTGAACCCGGGCCTTCTGATGGTGGCTGGTGTGCTACCACTACACCACCGAACCCGAGACATCCAGTTAAGCCTGTCGATGTCATCCTAATCCGTCAAAATGCCCATCTTCAACATTTTTCCCCCCAAAATGTGTACCCTCAGGGCATGTACCTCCGAAGCCGTATTTTTTCTGAACTCTGCATTTCAAAATGTACATGTGTACCAAGTTTTAGATTTATAACTTCTCTAGAACATGGTTAGAATTAGCTTTAGTCTATCACGATCGTCTTTATATATTAGATTATTCGAAAACAATTTCATAGGCTTTCCCATTCTTCAACATGAAATTCCACGTCTCATATTTTTTTTACAATCCTCGATGGCTTAGGAATGTATTCCAGTCTTTTCCATGAATTTAGCTCCCTTGATGTGAATAATATTCAATGTATAAGGCTCGCATGCAATCCTAACAGCTGTCTGACATCGTCTTCTATTTTTATCTTAGGTCAATAGCATATTGGAAATCGCTGCAGGAAAGTCAAGAGGGAAAATGAAATCCAATTAGAGCGCAAGAAGTGAACTCACATTTGGATCCATATATGGACTGAAAATTCTCATACAACGATCGGCGGTTCGGCTATGACCCGATGCAAAGATGATACATGGGTTCCGCCAATTTCTTCTCTGGCATAGCCTGGTAGAGATCACCTTAATTGTAAGAAGAGAAGGCAAGAAATAAACCGAAACATTGGGACGCAAACACGCTTACACGGGATAATACCCGCAATCGACGAGACCAACTCGAACCCCAAACCGAGAAACCCTCTCGACGATCGAATTCCAAGAGTCATCGTCCATCGAGGCAGAGTTTGTATTCTTTGGTGAGAACACCCGAATGAGCCAGACATCGTTTGTGTCATGGACATTCATGAGGTATTGCATTTCGAATGAGGACGAGAAGACATCGTCCTGTTGGTCTTTGCGGCGGATTGCTTCCTGGAGCTCCCCGTTGGTCGGCTTTCCTGCGAAGGACGCAGATGAAACAAAACCTTTGCGCATTATATCACGATTTCAAGCTGTATCCTATGCGTTATGGTGACTCGTTTGAGAGTCGGGTGGATTACCATTATGGGAAACTGCAGTTAAGTGTCGGTAAAAGAAAATAATTATTCAAATGCAAATATCTTTCCGTTGCTGCTTCTCCATCAAGCTTCACATTAACGACGATCATGACTGGAACTTGGAAGTTCCTTAAGATACCTTGAACCTCAATTACTGTCATCAATGCTGGGCCCAGATTCACGATGCGAATGCCCCAAACTCACCAGTGCTCTCCAACAGCTGCATCAAATCTTGCTTCTCTACAGCGCCTGCGCCATCCAATCCGCGTCTGTCCACTAGGGCCTTCAGCTCACTAGCGCTCAGCGTCTTGGGATCGACGAAGGAGGAGGAATGGGCGATTTTTCCGTGCAGGAACCAGCCGGGGATTTCCAGGAGTCTGATGATTACCAATGGGAGGATGACATATCCAAGTAGGAGCAGCCTTTTTAGGCATATGGTGGAGAACATTTCCTATGCCTTCGGGTCTTGTTCTAGAGCAAGCTGCCCGAATGGAATAGACACTCTTGACTGTTCGGATTAGAAACCTTCAAAGAAAAACAGCAAGTGGAAATTCCCAAATTGAAAATTTAATATGAAGTCTCTTCTCTTGAAGACAATTAGAAATATGATTCTTGGAACAACGAAGCAGATAATGAATAAGTCGTGAATGTACTTCACACACTCAAATTTCAAAACAGGATATCTTACCCACCTTCTTCATCCTCCTCCTTCCACAACCGACCATCAGATTCACCAAAAGGTATTTAGCGAGGGAAAGTGAAAAGAATTGTAACCTACGCCCTCTCCTGTACCTTCAGTACGGGAAAACTCCCATCTAATTCTTTACGCTAAATGGAAATTTCACCCCTTAGTCGAACTTAGCCGAAACATGACTTGAACTCTTACCTGTTCAGCCAAAAATTGTTAGAATATCGTAGGATATGAGAAGACGATTTGATGGTCATGAGATATATTGAATAACGGAAAAATAAATTTTCATTCTGATTTGAACTTGAATCCCTACTAGAAAATGAGTTTCATTATAGGGAATTACTCTAGGGAGTAATCTTAAAACGGCACTGTAACCAAAAGCTATGAGTATAAGTTAGGTACTAGAGTCTAAGTTCTCAAATAACAAGACTCGATTATTTGATTTAATCTAGTAACTTGAGGCTTACAGTGAGTAGTGCTTTTCCGGCATAGTTACGGTTAACCTAATTAATTTAATGAAAACCTTGACCTCGTGTGAATCTTGCAGTTAATGATATCTAATTCGAGAGTTTTGGTGCATAAAGGTGAATTATTGCGTAGCAAGGGCATTCTGATCAAGAGAATTCTAGCAAGAAAGATTCTCTCTTCGAATCCCCATTTTATTTTTATGAACTCATGTTATGCATAGATGCTGAGGAACATATTTTTTTTGAGACACGAAAAACTTAAAGCAACATATGACATCAGTAGGTCCGAGAAGAGGTACACATCGAACAATATCATATTGAAATGGTCGAAGCCTGGCATTTTAGACTCTAACGCTGAAAAATGTCTGAAAGTGAGCAGCTTTTCTCCATTGTAACCATAGAGGACATTCGGGACCAAACGAGTCAGAACCCGAACATCTGCCGATCTAAGTACAACATTTTTCCTCTCGCCCTCGAAAACCTGGAATGCCTCAAATCTAAAAGTTTCTTGGAACTCCACTCCGAGTACCCAAGAAAAGCGGGATCTGTTTGGTGTTTGTACCAGTCGTTATGTTCGAATGATTCTCAATATCAGAAACGAGAAGGTGACATACCCCAACCGAAACAGTCGTTCAAGTAGAATGATTAAGGACAGTCCCCAGTCTTCGGAATTCTGTTTTAAAAACCTATTTAAGAGAAACATTATGAAGGTATCAAATGTGGTTGGAATCCCTAGGAATCCCACTGGTGGGAATCCCTAGGCTCTGCAATGTTTGCATGAAGGGTTCAGGGTTTAACCTAGGCGAAGGATAAATCGTATAACTAACTATAGAACAAATTTTAATACCGTAGAGTGTATGCAGGCGATTGTAACTGACTGAGTGACTTGAGTGAGTGACTGACGGTTATTCTAGCCATGCTCTAGATAAGGTAGAAACCTGAAACTTGGTACATAAGGAGCTATTAGGGTGCTTAGCTCAGAATGAATTCCATTTTGGAGGTACATGCGCTTTTGGGGTATATATTTTAGAGTAGGATAATTTAAACAAATGTTTTAGCTTTAGTGAAACGAAGAGATGAGGAAACCTGAAAATAGGCATGTTCATGTCCACTGATATACTGATTTCAGTAAAATGTCCACTTCTCAGATATATCTCCTGTGGGCAAATTTTGTTGGGAAAGACGTTTTGCAAAACCTCTTATAATTCAGAGAATCGGGGAGAATTGGAAAATGAAACATAGCACAGTTTCGCTTGTGCGATTATTAGTTCCGGAAAACTCGATATAGATGTTTATACGTTCAGTGTCAAAAATATTTGTTTGGAACGTTTACCCCAAATACATTTTAGCGCAGAAAGCCGAGCAGAAATGAAAAAAGGGTTTCGAAAATAAAGTTGTTTATGGGGAATTGATTTCATGAAAAACACTATTTTGAGGTCTATGCTTTCGGGGCACATCTTTTGGGATGGTTATGATTTCTCTGAAAAGGCAAAATTCAGTACTCGAAAGTTCGCCACCTTCTGATTCCAAGGTATTATTCTTTTCAGGTTCATGCCCTCAAGGCACAATTTCCGAGAGGGACGTGTTTTGACAGAAATTTTTAGTTATGTCGATGCGGGCAATTATGGATAGTGGGAAATTTGATTTCTCATGACCAAAAGTAACTTGAGGCCTCAATGAATTATGTTCATTCCTCAAGCAGTTTTACCACATCCATGGAAGTGAGAATAAAAAGGGAATGCTTAAAATGTATTACACATTGCCTTAGAGCATAGAGCGCCGAAAGCGCGTCCGTAGTGAGTTTGTTTCCACTTCAGGTAAACCAAGTCGCCATCAATCCACTTTGCAGTTGGTCCTCACGAACTGATGCAGTTGGTCATTAGCAATTCGAAAGTTATTTTGAGGATGACAACCCTCTCATTGAATGGACAGCCTCCTTCTCTACAAATTGACGTCGGTAGTATCCGGATAGGTCCAATCCCAAATGAGTAATTTGTTGAAAATGCACTATATGCATGATCATTTTGGTTAGCAACAAGGTTGTAAGCGTCTGCGAATCTACTTGCCTCGCAATCGCCAGTGGACAAAAGTCCCATGAAAACGAAATGGAGAACTCGAGCACGCACCAGTTCGATGTTGGGACTTCGAGTCAGACCAAAAGCAGAACCGATCGTATCGTTCGGTAAGGGAATTACTATATGGCGTTACCTTAATACGACACTGTAAGCAAAATCTATGCGTTTAAGTCAGGTACTAGAGACTAGGTTCTCAAATAACAAGACTCGATTACTTGAAAACTTTTTCAATTACTAAATTATATTTTAGGTAATCTTGTAACTTGAGGCTTACAATGAGATGTAATTTTCCAACACAATTAAGGTTAACTTAATTAATTGAATAATAACCTTGACCTCGTTTGATTCTTGCATGTTAATTATATTTAATTCGAGAGTTTTGGCGTAAATAAGATGAAGTATGGCGGAGCAGGAAGATTTGATCTGAAAGATTCTGTCTTCGAATTCCCTTTTTATTATTTATAAACACCTCATACATTGATGTTGAGGAACATGTTTCCTTTGAGACACCCAAAACTTAAAGCACCACGTGACAACAGTTGGTCCGAGAAGAGGTACACATCGAACAATATTATACTGAAATGGAAGAAGCCTGGCATTTCAGACTCCAACGGTTTAAAGAGAACAATGAAAAATGTCTGAAAGTGAGCAGCTTTTCTCCATTGTAACCATAGAGGACTTTTGGGACCAGACAAGGCGGAACCCGAACATCCGCCCGTCCACGTGCCACATTTTCCCTGTCGCCCTGGAAAGCCTCGAATGCCTCAAAATGCAATCTCACTCGGAACTTCACGCCGAGTACCCAAGAACAGCGGGATCTGTTTGGTGTTTGTACCAGTCGGTATGTTCGAATGATTCTCAAAATCGGAAACGAGAAGGTGACATACCTCAACAGGAACGGTTGTTCAAGTCGAATGATAAAGGACAGTCCCCAGTCTTAGGAATTCTGTCTTAAAAACCACTTTAGGAGAAACTTTACGAAGGTATCAAGTGTTATATACTGGTGAGAATCCTATGCTCTGCACAGTTTCCATAAAGGCTTCAGGTTATAACATATGTGCATGGAGTAAATCTCCAATGCATGGAGTAGCTTCTACCTTTCCTCCGACTGGTGCCTGAATACTAAAGATGTGTGATCTGGAATAAATCGATGCAACTCTCACACCTGACCAGGAAATTTTTACGATCGCTTCATGTCTTAAAATTACACATGGTTTAATAGCATCTCTTTCTCACAAATTCCTTTTTCTTCCACATTTTCATGTGGAAGAAAAAGGAATTTGGCCCTTTGGCTTTCTGCATGCAACTGAAATCTGTTTTTCGTCCCCCACCCACCCCCTTCGTAATGAGACGCCAGTATCGACAAATTCATGCAACCACTACCCGAGATTCCCCCACTGTCAGTCCTGAGAAACGCCTCGCTCGTTCCACACGAAACTCACAATGGAGTTGTGAGGGACCAGTGGTTGTAACTTCTCATCTATTTTTTTTTTTGACAAAACTTTTTAGAGCTATCACATTGTTCTCGCAAATGTGACAACGATATGAGGGTCACTCTAAAAATCCCGGATGCGGCCTTCATATGCCTTCTCTAATGCTGAGAATTTTTCTCCAAGTTCGGACAATCTGCAGTATAAGCCTACGCAAAAATTTTCAGAATTAATCATTGCCTCGAACTGATTTTGTAGTGTCTTTCTAAGGTCATTCAGGGTAAGTGTGATAATAAAAATTAAAAGTTTCATTTTTGAATGAATGGCGAAACTTATCTATTGCATATATAATGAAGTACTTTTTCGCACGTCAACGTTAGATTGTTAGCTTCAAATCATGCATTTTCATCCACTCACTGGAAAGACTGTAGGCGTGAACCGCATTTGCGTTGGAAAGGTCGAGTTGATGACACCTACCCCGAAAACGTGGTAAGTGTGATCACAAGGCTAATAATGCTTGGGTATTGCAATTCAGCCGAGACAGTCATGAGTATTTTAAACCTGCAAAGATGCAGTGTTATCATAGCTAGCATTTTCACTTTGGAAAATTTTTAAATAATCATACTCACCATGTTTTAGGGTTAAGCGTGATCTAGGAGAGAGAAAGCGTGATCAAAGAAATAGTAATGAGGCTTAGTGCTTTTTTCCGAAATGAGCAGTTATCAGAATTTTGGCGCCAAAACCGAATTTGCCATTATGGCAACAATTTTTTTTAAGTCGATCGCACTTGCCTCATATATTTCCCCATAGAAAAAGGGGGTATTNCGGTCCTTCATTTCAAGCCGAAAGCTTCAAGAAGAAAACCGAACCATGCTTTTTGGATCAATGTGACCGTTGAAATATTCTACACCCATTTGGAATCATTCATTCGACCATGCATAGATGAAAGTTCCAAAAATCCTTATTAAAGTGGTTCTCACTGGCTAATCTCGTTCATGTATTTGCAGCGATGTACAATCTGAAGAGGGCAGTAATGTAGACCTTCGACTTCACATCAATTGACGCTGCCCGAGACTTTCGTAGGTCGAAAATGTGAAACCGGACTTTTCTTTGTCGGAAGTACCCTTCAATACATTTTTCATGAAAGAAAATTTCCCAGATAGGTTTCTTCTCCGATTGGAGACTTCCCATAGAAATTAATTCCCCGGAAAGTATTATCCTCCCTGAAAACTTTCTGCAGGAGATTCATCCAAATAGTAAACAATCAGAACTAAATGTCATTCATCAGTATCCTTCATTCTTCGGAGGTGGACCTTAAGAAGAAAAGAAAATCTTGGACCTGCAGATATTTGATGCACCCGCTCCCTGAATTAATCTCATCCGTCGAGCAACTTCTTTTACGCACTTTATGTGACGCATCTTGAATGAAGTTACTACGACCTATCTGCCCTTCCGCATATCGATATATGAAGGTCATTATCTGGAGTCAACGTTGCAAACGCACATCGGGAAATATACTGTTTCGTGAATTTTCTTTCAGGGATGAGTCGCGAAACGTTGAAACCACTGATGAAATTTCATATAAGTATTTAGTCAATGAATGGGTTCATACTGCGCAGATCTCTAGCAGAACTCATCGGTTCCTTGCTCATAGGTTTGAATGGGCCCTTCCAAGCATGGCGTCTACTCGACTTCAGCCTTCCTCCAAAGTGGGAAGTAGCTCGTATCCCGTCTGAGAATTCATTCTTCCCCCTCTTGCTCTCGCACGCCAGAATCACCTGCGAATGCATCGTGAGACGAGTGCACACGCGAACCTTCCCTTGCCGAGATGGAGAGAGAAACGCACGTTGTGGAATCGTGGCTCCTTCATGCACGTCAGTTTGGCCAAAAGCCGACAAGCGTTCTGGATCCGAAGGGATAACCGAATGTCTTTCAGGTGATGGATGGATACGGTGAAGACGCACAACGCCACTTCTAACGACACCAGGCAGATGCTGGCGCAGTAGTATTTCCCTGAAATAATCGTCATGAATTTCTTCCATCTCGAATCGGCATGCCGCAAATGTGCTATTCTATTTTCACGGTTCTCGTTTCAAAATCATGTTGCAGCTCTGAATTTCCAAATAATTTCATGCTGTGATTTGTGACCTAAAATTAAGCTATGGAAGATCACAACATTAGAAGAACATGATGATCTTCCGCACCGGAACTACACAACTGCAAAATCACAAATTTCCTGTAATTTCATGGTTTTACAGTAGGAACTATTGGTTCAAGCATTCCCTCGGCTCTATTGCATGCAGATTGTTTCAGCAAGCGTTTCTAGTACGTTATTCATTATTTCTATGTGGTACTTTTTCCAGCCTGAACTACTAAACATTCTTGATTTTTGTTATTACTTTTCATTAGATCGCGAAAATTGAAGATTGGCTCAAGTGCACAATAAAAAGTTGTGATTGGTAAATGTAAAAAATGTGATCGATCACTGTAAAAAAGAATCTGATCGTGATTTCACGGTTGCAGACATCGTACCAAGTAGAGGCATATTCTCGGAGGGTGGGAGGATATCGCGGATGGTCATGAGGAATACGATGGCCGTGAGCATGGCGGAGATCCCCAGGGTCACCTTCGCCCCGCTCTCGCTCGGGATCAGGAACGCAAGAAGGGCTAGATCCAAACCGACCACGGTGCATTGCCCGATCTCCAGTGCTTCTCGTTATTGCTAGATACACGGAGAGATCGGTGTCGTACCAAGGATGTTGATGATGACCATGGGGAGGACGTAGCTCACGAAGAAGAAAAACGTGCGGCGCTTCATCAGAATCACATAGTTGACATTGTCGAAGGGATTCGGACAACACGGATCCGAGTTCAATATCTTCTCTGCCTTGTAAGATTCCAATGAGAACTCCTGGCTCTCAATATACGTTCCCAGCTCCAACGTAGCGTTGTAGTCCGATTCCATCTGAATCTGAAACGTCCCTTTCGTTTGACAATGTGTAATTATTTTGGTGCTCATTGGTATTATAAGGGCATGTGCAGGATGAAATCGTGCACGAATTAGCATTTTGAGGAAGTCCATTCTTGCCACTTTCATAAATAATGACACACAAATTTTCTTTGCGAGTTATTAATAAACTAAATCTTCAACTTGATTGATGTGTGTAAATGTGCTAAATGAAGGAAACCGAAAACAATTTTGTATATAAATTCTAAGAATTGTTATTGCCCTTGGAAAAGGTATTGCCTTGTTATCCAAGTCTGAGAAGGTCGTAGGGCGGACAAAGTTTCATAGGTATGATTAAGTATTGCAACGGTTTTCCTAATAAGTGACAATTCATTATAAAACTTTCTCGATTAAATCTCAAAATTTCCTCATTTTTGGACTTTTGATATTGTGACTGAAGATCCGTTTGGATTGCATAAATGTACAGCCTGCCGGAAAAGGTAACTTTGCTAAGAAAATGAGAAGCGTCGAAATGCAAGTGATGGAAGTTAGGGACCAGGAAAGGGAGCGAGCAAGTCACCTTGGTCACGTCCTGGCACCATGACCCAAACCGCATCGAGCAGTTCTGCGTGTCGAATGGGAAATAGGAGACGTCCACGTCGCAAACCGAGCGGAACATCGCACCGGTGAGCAGGGTCACCTTCCCCGTCCAGCTCACGATCGCGTTCGTCCTCAGCAGCCGTTCCTCGTAGTTCGTCGCCGCGCTGCAACGCGTGACGAGTTCCACTGTGACTCGCTCGCTTTGAAACTACTACGAGTGAACGACGTGGGAATTCCGTTACTAGCCGGAATTCACTCGGTTATGTTACTCTTAATTTATGCTCTGCACACAGCTACTCAATACAAAAGTTTGGACTCAGAGCGTGTTCACCTGGATTTCCTGCATTGCTCAAAACTTTGTCAGGCATTTCCTGGGAAATATCACTTCGTGCTCTTTGCCTAATCTAATATATACTCTAATCTACTATACATCTAATATACTCGTAGAGGGTGTCCATAAAATATTACACTTTTGATATTCGATATCTTCGGAACGGTAAGGCATAGGACTGTGAAATATTTGGAGGATACTCAGGGGGTCATGGGATTGTATTTAAGACTGATTTGGAAATTGTGTTTGCTGTTTTACAAGTTGACCGGTCTTGTTTGTAACAAACCGTATGGAGGCGAGCCGTGAACCCCTGTATATGTTGTCTCAGTTAACGGAAGCTCCTCAACAATTTCGCTCTTCGTCCCGAATGACAGATGACTTCCACAAGTAATTGTAACAGCCACAATAATGTCATTGTGATTCTTCCGAAAAAGGAGTTTGGATTCCCACGAAGAAAGATCATTTCATGCTTATATTCTGCCAGACACAGGAAATGAGAAGCATGACAGGCTTTTCTCTCCGTCGGGAATTACGTACTGCTCTGGAGAAACGCCCTGTTTGACAGAATCGAAGGAAAATGATTGCCATAAAGTACGCGAAGTCAAAAGCATTAAATCACGCCAAAAGGCAGGCTGAAGGGAAGAAAATTCCGAAATGGCTTTCTTTTGGGGATTGGGGATTTCCGAGAATTTGCAATACTTCTTATAGAGACATAATCAGAAATGTAGGTTTACTTTCACTACTTCAAATATTCACAACTTTTTAGATATTTCTGAGAAAATTTGACAAATATCGATATCATCAAATACTGGATGCTTCGAGACGCGTTTAATACCTGAAGAACGAAAAGCCCAAATCAGAATGTTTACGACTACGATTGAACCACAAAGTTCCCATCATGCTTATTTCATACCCCGAAGCCATCATACCTATTCAAGAGGACGATGTCCGGCGTCCAGATGGATGCATAGGGAACGATGATCTCCTCGATTCCACCGTAATCTGTCGGGTCCCATTTCAGATAGGCATCTGTCCATCGTTCAACGACCTCGACGCTGGTGTCGAGAGCCTGGTTCCTCTCGTCCTGTCGGATGTTACCGGTCGGACTTCATTAAAACCTGCGACAGTACCTTCAAAGATGGGTGAATCCATGTTTCCATGAACGGCTCTTCAGTTGGGACATGAGGTGACAAACCCTTAAGTCGTATCAACACTCATGAGCTTGGTGGTTCCGTAGAAATGTCATAAATAATTTTTTTCTGCAATGAATTCTTAGGAATTCAATGCAAAAAATTCATTGCATTCTTAGTTAAGGAAGAATGATGAGGCCGAGAGCGAAAATAACGGAAAAATGTGTTCTTGGAAATACTTGAATCCGAGCGGTAACCCAATCCAACGACCTGCCATTCGATCATTTGCTCCTCCTGGGGGATTTTTGACACCTACATTCTAAAACGTAACGGTTCGAATCGGAACCGTTTCTGGTTCTTGATTGAAACGAAATCAAGGAAAAACGAGTTGGAACTAAATTAACAAAAAAAATTAAATAAAATAAACAATTTGGATCTCAGGCATTCGACAATGCAGATATTCAACGCTAAAATATGATAAACATATATTATATGATAAAAATATAATATAAAACATTTGCTCAATCCCTCAGACGAATAAGCAAATTTAGTGGAAAATGTTGTTGACCCTTTCGACCTAACTGCATAAATCCAGCAGAGAATATGCAGATCCCGCCCTGGAAGATCCGAATCTGGATTTAACAAAAGAGAAGAAAAAATTACTGCTTTCTTTCTCGATTCATTACTGATAG